CTTTAATTTACCTCAAATACCACATCTTAAGACTAAGACATTGATATCCTCCTCATTCTATGGAAATTTCATCTGCAAATTTCCATAATATCTTTCTTTACATATATTTTTAAAAAATATTTATTTATTTATTTGAAAGAGTTACACAGAGAGGAGAGGCAGAGAGAGAGAGAGAGAGGGGTCTTCCATTTGATGGTTCACTCCCAGATGGTTGCAATGGCTGGAGCTGAGCTGATCCAAAGCCAGGAGCCAGGACCTTCTTCCTGGTCTCCCATATGGGTGCAGGGGCCCAAGGACTTGGGCCATCCTCCACCACCTCCCAGGCCACAGCAGAGAGCTGGATCGAAAGTGGAGCAGCCAGGTCTCTAGCCAGCACCCATATGGGATGCGGAAGCTCCAGGACAGGGCATTAACTCGCTGTGCCACAGTGCTGGCCCCCTCTTTACATATCTTATGGGACTTTTCACCTATCTTTTGTTGCCATTAGTGCTCCTCTGAGTCCCCTTTGATTCTTGTGACAGGTTTGGGATTGTCTTTAAATGCTTGCCTAACATGTATACTGCAGGTGTATGGGATTATGACACTTAAACCCGTCTTCTGCTTAAGATTCAAACCTGGGATGCAGTTTCTGTGATCACAAAGTTCTAGTAATGATTAAATAGTGGTTTTCTGGATTATTTGACAATTGAGTTATCCATCTTTGAATTCTAGTTTTAGTACTTAGGATTAAAGAATGAACTGGGACCTGCACTCTGGCGTAACGAGTAACCTGCTGCGCCAGCATCCCATATAGATGCTGGTTTGAGTCCTGGCTATTCCACTTCTGATACGGCTTCCTGCTATTGCACCTGGGAAGGCAGAGGGTGGCCCAAGTGCTTGGGCCTCTGCACCCATACAGGGGACTCGGAAAAAACTCCTTGTTTTGGATCATCCCTGCTCCGGCTGTTGTGGCCATCTGGGAAGTAGACCAGCAGATAGAAGACTCTCTCTCTCTCCTTCATCACTCCTGTAACTCTGCCTTTCAAATAAATAAACAAATCTTAAAACACACACACACACACACACACACACACAAGGACTGAAATTGAACTGCTATCCTTGAATTGGCTGATGTGACCCAGCCCTCGGTGATATAGACAGACATATTCATGGCTCTATTTGAAAATTAAGGAGACTCATTCTTTAAGCTAACTCACAGCTTGCTCTTTTTCAACAGAATTACCGTGGGGAAAAATTTGGCAAATTGTACTCAATTACCCTGTGGGATGTCAACTATTGATATACTCTACACTGAAAAGACTGGCTTTTAACATATTCTGTGGTTCATCCTTCATCTCACCATCTGCTCTATAATCAAATCTTTTTTTTTTTTTTTTGACAGGCAGAGTGGACAGTGAGAGAGAGAGACAGAAAGGTCTTCCTTTGCCGTTGGTTCACCCTCCAACGGCCGCCGTGGCCGGTGCGCTGCGGCCGGCGCACCGCGCTGATCTGAAGGCAGGAGTCAGGTGCTTTTCCTGGTCTCCCATGGGGTGCAGGGCCCAAGCACCTGGGCCATCCTCCACTGCACTCCCTGGCCACAGCAGAGAGCTGGCCTGGAAGAGGGGCAACCGGGACAGAATCCGGCGCCCTGACCGGGACTAGAACCCGGTGTGCCGGCGCCGCAAGGCGGAGGATTAGCCTAGTGAGCCGCAGCGCCGGCATATAATCAAATCTAATACTTTGTTTCTAACAGTAGTATGTACCCTAAATAATGGCCTTGGGAACCAGCTTCTCAAATCGGTGCCTTATAATTTGCAAAGATTTCAACCCTATTTGAACCCCAGAAATTCAAGAGGGCTGATGATATCATCCTGATAGCATCTTAAGAGTGGCTCTGTAAATCTAGACATCATATAGGTATAAAGTTTATACAGTTGCTTTTAAAAAAGATTGACTTGTTTAAAAAAGATAACCTTATTAAGATAATTTACATTGACTGTCTAGAAGCCAACTCAATAAATGACTTAACTCTGTGACTCTAACTTTTAGCATCCCTTATAATATTTGTGCAGTGACTTTGAGATTCATTCTCAGGTTTGACTTTAGTCACCCTCCCCCACTAATTTCTGCTAATAATTAAAACTTCTAGCCTGTCTCACCTTCTTCTTTGTTCAGTATTGCTTTATATAATTCACTGAGATATATATCCAGTTCTAGGCACAAAATTAATGAGAAGATCCTGGAACTGATTTGAGAATTTATAATTTGACCTGTTCCACTCAACTCTAAATAGCTACGTGAATATATGATATATAGACTTCTACCCTAGATTAAGGTAGAAAACTGTGGAGGGACTGGTGTTGTAGCACAGCAGGTTAAGCTACTGCTTGCTATGACAGCATCCAATATCCAGCTGCTCTGATTCTGATCTAGCTCCCTATGAATGTTCCTGGGAAGGCAGCAGAAGGTGGTCCAAGTACTTGGGTCCCTGCTAGTCACATGGCAGACCCAGAAGGAGTTCCTGGATCCTGGCTTTGCCCTGGCCCAGACTTGGCTGCTATGGCCATTGGGGAATGAACCAGCCAATAGAAGATATCTCTCCCTCTCCCTGCCTTTCAAATCAATAAATCTTTTAAAAATTGTTTATTTTAATTAAGAAAGATGAAAAACTGTGGAGCAATACTATGGCTGTGTTCTGAATAAGATATATCATTCTTTGTCATGATTATTAATCATGGAGTAGACTTTAGTATAGTGCATAGATTTTTCTTTTTTTTTTAAATATTTATTTATTTATTTGCAAATCAGAGTTACACATAGAAGGAGAGGCAGAGAGAGAGAGAGAGAGAGGTCTTCCATCCATTGGTTCACTCCCAGTTGGCCACAACGGCCGGAGCTGTGCTGATCTGAAACCAGGAGCCAGGAGCCTCCTTTGGGTCTCCCATGTGGGTGCAGGGGCCCGAGAACTTGGGCCATCTTCTACTGCTTTCCCAGGCCCTAGCAGAGCCTGGGATCATAAGTGGAGCAGCTGGGACTAGAATCGGTGCCCATATGAGATGCCGGCACTGCAGGCAGTGGCTTTACCTACTATGCCATAGTGCCGGCCCCAGTACATAGATTTTTCTCTTTTAATATTATGTCAAGTAGTATTGTTACTCTTCTTTCCCAGTTTTGCTTACTTTGCATGAGGGCAATGAATACTCAAATTGAGCATTGGTAGGGAAATGAGTTAACTGGATCTTATTATTTGCCTACTGCTTCTTTTTGTAACATTGTTAAAAGTTGATTACTGGCGAGAGAAAAAATAAATACTAAAAATCTTTAATTTACTGATGGAGAAATAGACAAAAACACAGAATCAGAATTGTGTTGTGGAAGTGTGCATACATTTTAGAGTCAGAAAAGTAGGAGTTTGAATTTTAGCTCAGCTACTTACTATCTGGGTGATGTTGAAACATTACCTAGCCTCTCAATGCCTCAGTTTTCCTTTCTGCTAAACAGGAATACCAGTAGTGTTGTTAAGATGACTAAGCAAGATAAGATATAAAAGATGCCTGAATGAATGAATGAATGACACATAATAAATACTCAAAATCGTGTGTTTTATAATTCTTGTTATTATAAATAAAGAAGTTTTAATGAAGTGATAGCCAACTGATTTTACATGCCTTTTCTTTGTAAAACAGAACCTTTTTCTCCCATGGAGGTATAAAACAGGGTAGATTTCTAGGAAAAAGATCCAAGAAATACCTAAAAAATGGTAGTTAGATAATGAATGAAAGCCTATTTACTTGATTGGGGAGTGAAAAGGTTTGTTTGTAGTAAGTGTATAATAGGAGCTCAAAAGGATTAGTGTCGTTTATGCCACAAATATCTGTTGAACACCTGTATTTACTGTGAATATAAAGATTAATGAGATATGGCCTACAAAGGAACTCACATGAGGGAAAACAATTTGTAAGCAGTAAGATTATGATAAAATATGGGTAAGTGTTATAGAGGCATGAATGAACACCTGTTAGTGCACAGAAAACTAGATCTTTTCTGAGTAAATGGAATGTAAGGAAACATGAAAGAAGGGAGAAGTTAAGGAGGAGCTTATTGAGAACTTAGCCTATGCTAATAAAAGTTGAGTGAAACTGGATTAAGTTAGATTTTCCTTGAGACTGTGGCAGAATGTCCACTTTCTTTAAGAATCTACTAACAAAAATAAAGGCCAGTGAATATGGAAAAGAAGATAATATTTATAACATGTTTCATATAAACATGGCATTGGGTGAAAGCTTTCGTCCCGGTATATATTACACCATTTAATTTGTAATGGATTTAATAAACTGTTTTATTTGTCATGTTGGTATATACTGTGACTTCCTGTGTGTAATTAGTTTATTCACAACAACCTTGAACATACACTAAATATTTCAGCTTTAGGAAATGAGTGGGTGAATGGTGGTCAATATCTGTAAATATAGGAAACAGAAAATAACAAAACCTGTGTTTTAGGCCAGTGGTTCTCAGTGAGATCCCTGGACCAGCATCAGCATCATCTAAGAATTTTTACAAAATGAAAATTCATGCCATACCCTAGGTCTGTAAACAGAAGCCATAGGAATGGGATCAGAAATCTATGTTTTAAGAAGACTTCCAGGTAATAATGATAGTCTTCTTCAAGTCAGCAGTCTTTAGAGCATAGCATGTGGACTTAAAATGCGTTATAACCTGTTTTAGTAAATAGCATTTTATTCAAACAACCATACCAATTTATTATTGTTTATGGATGTTATTGTGGTATAGTAGCAAACTTGATTAGTTGCAATAGAGACCTTATTGCCTACAATACCAAAGGGATTTTCCATCTGGTTCATCACAGAAAAGGTTTGTCTACTCCTGCTTTAGGCTTTAGGTACTAGATAGAGATCTAAACTCTGAATGTATAAGCAGTTATTTGTTAATTGAGGTAAAGATTAAAAAGAAATTTTTCATGGTTTTAAAATTCGTAATGTTTTATCTTTCCCTTTTAGTCAAGGATGCTTTGTAAATGGACCTTTCAGTTCAAATCTTCTTACCATCCCAAAGCAAAGGTCATCTTCTGTGTCACTGACTCACCATGTAGGTTTGAGAAGAACTGGTAAGAAAATTCTTCATAGTGTCAATTGTTAAATCAACAACAGGAGTCACTGTGCACTTGCTCCCCATGTAAGACCTCTGTCCTTAATGTTTGTACTATGAGAATTAACAGTAAATGTAGTCTTCAAACAGTACTTTATACTTTGTGTGTCTGTGTGGGTGCAAACTGTTGAAATCTTTACTTAGTATAGAGTTGATCTTCCTTGTATAAAAATAATTTAAAATGAATCTTAATGAAGAAAGTGATGGGAGAGGGAATAGGAGGTGGGATGGTTTGGGGGATGGAAGGCGGTTATGGGGGGAAGAACTGCTATAATCCAAAAGTTGTACTTATGAAATTTATATTTATTAGATAAAAGCTTTCTATTAAAAAAATAAAAGTATGCACAAAAAATAATCATTCTTTTTTTTTTAAATTTTTTTGACAGGCAGAGTGGACAGTGAGAGAGAGAGACAGAGAGAAAGGTCTTCCTTTGCTGTTGGTTCACCCCACAATGGCCACTGTGGCCGGCGCACTGTGGCCAGCGCACTGTGGCCAGCGCGCCGCGCTGATCCGAAGCCAGGAGCCAGGTGCTTCTCCTGGTCTCCCATATGGGTACAAGGCCCAAGGACCTGGGCCATCCTCCACTACACTCCTGGACCACAGCAGAGAGCTGGCCTGGAAGAGGGGCAGCTGGGACAGAATCTGGCGCCCCGACTGGGACTAGAACCCGGTGTGCCGGTACCACAGGCGGAGGATTAGCCTATTGAGCCGCGGCACCGGCCCAAAAGAATCATTCTTTATGATTTAAATGTGGGGGTTCTCGAAGTATATGATAGTATAAATTTTTTTCTTTACACACTTATAGTTAACTTTTAATACTATTTCATAGTTTCATGTGTTTACCAGTATATATATACTAAGAAATTTGAGTTTCTTATTATTAACCATCTGCCAGTTCATTGACTGAACATACTTTAAGCATCTGTTATGTACCAGGCAATTTTTCAGATGCTGAAGATTGAAAGATAAAATATGCAACTGGTTTACTATTCTGACTAGTTACAGATCCAGAATAAAGGAAAATCTTCAGGAGAAGGTGTTTCTTTTGTAGCACAGTAATTGTAGAGAAAGAAAATCTTGGTGTAAGAGTAGATAAAACCCTTTATCTTAGCAAGTCTTACCCTTGTATCTTAGCAAGTCAAATGAACAGAAATTTTCTTTTAATCAAGAGATTATAAAATGTTTCAAAGCTTCCTGGGAAAGATATTTTACAAATACAGCATAGTATTAGCAGAGCAAAACTGATATTCTGCTTTTAAAGTATGTTATGACTGATGTACAGTTACAGTAGGATGTAAGATCACAGAATTCTTACATACAATTTTAAAAGCTATAAGACCAGAGAGGTAGTAAAATGTTATTGATAATGATGAAAAGCAGGCATTAGGAAGAAATCTGCATATGATATTGATATTGAATTTATAGTATTTTTTAAAAAGATTTATTTATTTATTCAAGACACAGAGCTACAGAGAGAGAGGAAGAGAGAGAGAGATGTCTTCCATCCTCTGGTTCACTCCCCAAATGGTCACAATGGTCAGAGCTGGGATGATTAAAATCAGGAGCCAAGAGCTTCTTTTTGGATCTCCTACGTGGGTACAAGGGCCCAAGCGCTTGGGCCATCCTCTTCTGCTTTCCCAAGGCATTAACAGAGAGCTAGATCTGAAGTGGAGCAGCTGGGATATGAACTGGTGCCCATATAGGATACCAGCAGTGTAGGCAGAGGCTTAACCTACTGTGCCACGGTACTGGCCTACAGAGTTTTTTAAAAAATTCAATTATTTATTTGAAAGGCAGCAATAGAGGGAGAGAGAAGAGATGGAGAGAGACAGAGAGACAGAGAGACAGAGAGAGACAGAGAATCTTCCATCTGCTGGTTCACTCCCCAAATGGCCGCAACAGTTGGAGCTGAGCTAGTCCAAAGCCAGGAGTTAAGAGCTTCTTCTGGATTCCCCATGCAGGTGCGGGGGCCCAAGCACTTGGGCCATCTACCACTGCTTTCCCAGACTATAATAAGCAGAGAGCTGGATCAGAGGTGCAGCAGCCAGGACTTGAACTGATACCCATATGGACACTTCATTCTGTTTGTTTTTTTTTTTTTTTAAATGTATTTTCCCTCTCTGTAGACATATTTCCATGTTTTCAAGATCACTATTTTTATATTCTGTTGTGTTCAGTCTATTGTTAACTCTTAATATAATAAAAATACATTTCTCAGTTCTAGAATGCCTATCATTTCTTTTCTGGAGCAGCCAGGACAAGAATTGGTGCCTGTTTGGGATGTTGGTGCCACAGGCAGAGGCTTAGCCTACTACGCCACAGCGCTGGCCCCAAATAAAACTTTTTATACAAATTAAAGCTGAAAGGAATTGTTGCTGGAAAACCTGTACTACTAAATTTCAGAAAAGAAAATTCCTTATGTAGGAGGAAAATGATGCAGTTACACCATATAACCGTAGGAGTAAATAGCAAGTACTAATAAGCCTAAGTAGATGGGTAAGTATAAGAAACTAATAGTAAAACAGCAATAATAGCTTCTTTTTAACATTTATAATATATGTAGAAGTCAATATATATATGTATATGTTAAGAATATTGTAGAAGGTAGGGAAGGAGTTAAGTACTTAAACTTGTACAGTGCTGGCAATGATTGAAAAGTACTAAAAGCTTCTAATTTAAAGTGACACTAATACTTCAAAGATACAAATTGTAATATCTAGAGACAACTGAAAGAATAATAGAGAGGGCAGGTATTTGGCATATCATTTAAGTTGCCTCTTAGGATGACTGTATCCCATATTGGAGTGCCTGGATTTAAGTCTCAGCTACTCTACTTCTGATCCAATTTCCTGCTAATGTACTTCGTGGGAAGCAGCAGATGATGGCTCAAGTGTTTGCATTCTTGCCACCATTTGGGAAATCTGGATGGGGTTCTTGGCTCCTGGCTCAAACCTGTCCCGCTCCTGGCTCTTGTGGACATTTAGGGAATGAACCAGCAGATGGAAAATCTCTGTTTCGCTGCCTCTATCTTTGTCTTTTTGCCTTTCAAATAAAGTGGAAATTTTTTTAAAAATTTTAAAAATAGAAAAATATGTAACTAAAAATTGATTTAGAAGGTAAAATGGCATGAATACTTCAGTAATCCAGGGTAATCCAAGAAACAAAAAAGGATGAACAAATAAAAAATAGATAGCGAGGAGATAGATTAAATATATGATGTTATATTAACTGTATATCTTAGAGACAGGAAGATCTGACCAGAGTTGCTATAATATACAGTAGTCCCCCCCACCAACATTTTCACTTTGTGCAATTTCACTTACCTGTAGTCAACTGCAGTCTGAATAGTAAATGGAAAATAATAAATGGAAAATTCCAGAAATCAGGAATTCATGTGTTTAAAATTATATGAAGTTCTGAGTAGCATGATAAAGTCTAGTGCCATCTATCTCCATCTTGCCCTGGACGTGAATCATTCTTTTGTTTTGCATTTCCACAGTGTTTATCCACACTGTATATGCTACCCTTCTGTTGTCATTTATAGCCTTCTCTGTTATCAGATCAGCTGTTGTAGTATTGCAGTGTTTGTGTTCAACTAACACTTATTTTACTTAATAATGGCTCAAAGTGCAAGAGTAATAATATTGGCAATATTATTGCAATGTGTTATTATAGCCATCCTATTTGTTTTTATTGTTGTTAATTACTTACTATGCTCAATATTATAAATTAAGCCTTATCATAGATATGTGTGTATAGAAAAAACAGTATATATAGGGTTCTGTAATATTTATAGTTTCAATTACAGTATATATGGCGCACAATACTAACTGTGGTCTCGGAATTTATGCCACCGTGGATAAGAGGAACTCCTGAACTATCTGACTATCCAGTGCTTTATCAAAAAATTGGACTCCACAGTCAATTTAAAATTATGACTGAATTAAAAGTAGAAGACTCCCTGTATTTGCTCTTTCCCAGAGACATGCTCTAATTTAAGGACAGAAATAGATTTGATCCCATAGTTGTAAAATATTTGGATTAACAATGTATAGAACTAATAGACAAATTCATGTTCATCTTTGAGAGATTTTAAATCACCACTCTAATTAACTAGCAGAATAAACAGACCAAAGTAGTATGGCTGTGTGGACTATTTGAATAACATGATTAACTGACTTAACTGCTTTAGCTGAATATAAAGCACCATACCCAGCCATTACAGGATGTTCCTTGTTTCCACAAACACACAAAAATTTGTAACAGCAAACACTTGCTGTACTTGACTATAAAGCAAGTTTCAATGAGTTTGAAAGGCTTAAAATCATAGATGGGGAGAGGGTGACTTCTAAAATGACAGAGGGAGGATCTCACTCTCCTTAAACAATGAAAGTAGGGACAAAACAAGTAAGTCAACCGTTTCAAAACCCTGGAAGTTAACAAAATTCAGAGAATATATTAGAAGTTATTTATCCAAGAGAACTACTGAAGTTTGATAAGATAGTGGATTATGTGACAGTTTTAAATAGGAGTTATTATCATCTAAAATAGTCTAGATTTTCTATAGAATGGAATAGTCTAGGGGCTCCCATTGTGGCATAGCTGGATATGCTAGGATTCCACATATGCTTCTAGGATTCCTTATAGGTTCCGATTGAGATCTGACTGCTCCACTTCCAATCTAGCTCGCTAATGTTGTAGGGGCCTACATTGTGGCATGGTGAGCTGGACCTCCACCTACAGCACCGACATTCCATACGGGCACTGGTTGCAGTCGCGGCTACTCCACTTCTAATCCAGCTCTCTGAGATGGCCTGGGAAAGCAGCAGAAGATGACCCAGGTGCTTGGGCCCTTGCACCCATGTGGGAGACCCAGAAGATGCTTCGGCCTGTCCCAGCTCCGGCCTTTGTGGCCATTTGGGGAGCAAACCAGCAGATGGAAGATAGCTTGCTTGCTCTTGCTGTCTCTCTCCTTCTCCTCTTCTTCTCTCTGTAACTCTGCCTTTCAAGTAAGTAAAGATTAAATCTTAAAAAAAAAAAAGAAGAGTCAAGTTTTGGTAAACACTCAGAAGAAGGAACATTCATACATTGCTGGAAGGAAAGTAAAGTGTCAAGCCATATTGGAAGACAATATGGCAGATTCTCAAGATGTTAAGCATAGAGTATTATATGACCCAGCAATTCTCCTAGATGTATATGCAAGAAATGAGGCCAGATGTCCACAGAGGTACTTGTCCATAAATTTTCATAGTAATATTATTCTTTTTTTAAAAAAATATTTTATCTATTTATTTGAGAGGCAGAGTTATAGACGGAGGGAGAGACAGAAAGGTCTTCCATCTGCTCTTTCACTCCCCAAATGGCCGCAACAACTGGAACGGAGCTGATCCAAAGCCAGGAGCCTGGAGCCCCCTCGGGGTCTCCCATGCAGGTGCAAGGGCCCAAGCACTTGGATCATCCTCTATTGCTTTCTCAGGCCATCTCAGAGAGCTGAATTAGAAGTGGAGTAGCTGGGACTGCAACCAGTGCCCGTATGGAATGTCGGTGCTGTAGGTGGAGGTCCAGCCCACCATGCCACAGTGTAGGCCCCTACAATATTATTATTAATAGCCATAGAGTAGAAAGAACTGAAATGACTATCAACTTAGTGGATTATTAAAATGTGTTCTGTCTATACAATGGATTATTATTTATCACAAAAATGGAATGATGTAGTAGCCATACGTGCTACAACATGAATGAACTTTGAAAACATTAAGCTAGCCAAAAAAGATCCATACAAATAGTATGAATCCATTTCTGACACATACAGAATAGATATTTCCATAGAGATAGAAAGTGCATTAGTGGTTGCTGTAATTTTAATATGTTCCCCAAAATACATGTGTTGAAATAAAATCTCTAATGCATCAGTATTAAGAGATAATGCCTTTAGGAGGTTATAAGGTCGTGAGGTGATAGATCATATCATTTGTAGCCCTCATACCATTTGTAGCCCTCATGAATGCAAATCAGAGCCTATAAAAGTGGCCCAAGGGGGCTGGGTGTCTGTGGCTTAGCAGTTAAGTTGCTGCTTGGGACACCTGCATCCAACATAGAAGTGCCTGGTTCTTGTCCTAGCTACTCCACTTCTGACTCAGCTTTTTATTAAGGCCCACCCTGGGTTAAGACAGAAGATGATGGCTTGAGTTGTTGGCTCCCTGCCACCAGTGTGGGAGACCTGGATGAAGCTTAGAGCTCCTGGCTTCATCATGGCCCAACCCTGGTTGTTGCAGATATTTGGAGAGTGAGCCCACAGATGGAAGATCCTTTTCCATCTGTCTCTGTCTCTGTCTGTGTGTGTGTGTGTGTGTGTGTGTGTGTGTGTGTGTGTCTGCTTTTCAAATAAAATGAAAATTAAAAAATTAAAAAAAAAAAAGAGATACAAGGGAGCCAGCTATCCCTTTATGTTACATGACTGGGCATTGGAGAGACAGGATTGAAAAATGACTGCTAATGGGTATAAGGTTTCTTTTTAGCTTTATGAAAATATTCCAGAATTAGCAAAACTGTGAGTATACTAAAAGTAGCTGATGTGTCTAATTTAAAAGGATGAATTTTGTGGAATGTGAATGATATCTCAATAAAGCTATTAAAAAAGCTTATAGGAGTGGGCATTTAGACTGGTGTTTAAGATGCTAGTTCAGATGTGTACATCCCACATTTAAGTACCTGGGTTCAGTTCTCTGCTCCGGCTCCTGATTTCAGCTTACTACTAATAAAACCCTGGGAGACAGTGCTGATGCCTCAACTACTTGGGTTCCTGCCCCAAATGGGAGACCTGGATTAAATTTCCCACTTCCACTCCCAGCTTTAACCTTGGTGCAGTCCTGGCCACTGCAGGCATTTGGGGAGTGAACCAGCAGCTGAGAGAGAATCTCTCTCTTTCTCCTACTTCCATTCTCTCTCTGTCTCTCAAATAAATAAAAATTAAAAGAAAAAGGTACACATAGCAATTCTCTCATAACAGTAAAATTAGACTAAAGCATTTAGAAATATGTGCAAGATATCTCAAAATTTATAACCTGTATGTCAAAAAAGCAAAAATAGGGGCCGGTGCTGTGGCGCAGCGAGTTAACACCGTGGCCTAAAGTGCCGGCATCCCATATGGGCACTGGTTCGAGACCCAGCTGCTCCACTTCCGATCCAGCTCTCTGCTTTGGCCTGGGAAAGCAGTAGAAGATGGCCCAAGTCTTTGGGACCCTGCACCCATGTGAGAGACCTGGAAGAAGCTCCCGGCTCCTGGCTTTGGATCGGCGCAACTCCAGCCGTTGCGGCCATCTGGGGAGTGAACCAACAGATGGAAGACCTGTCTCTCTGCCTCTCCTCTCTCTGTGTAACTCTGACTTTCAAATAAATAAATAAATCTTAAAAAAAATGCAAAAATAATGAAAAGTAGAAAACATTTTGAGCTGAATGATAATGAAAATAAGACATCAAAACTTGTGGGCAGAAGCTAAAGTAGTGCTTTGAGTTACAAAATTTATTGCAAAGAGTAGAATAAAAGTCTGTTAAACTTATATCTTGGGGCCAGCACTGTGGCACAGCGGGTTAAAGCCCTGGCCTGAAGTACTGGCATCCCATATGGGTGCCGGTTCTAGTCCCAGCTGCTCCTCTTCCAATCCAGCTCTCTGCTATGGCCTGGGATAGCAGTGGAGGATGGCCCAAATCCTTGGGACCCTGCACCCATGTGTGAGACCGGGAGGAGGCTCTTGGCTCCTGGCTTCGGATTGGCACAGCTCTGCCTGTTGCGGCCATCTGGGGAATGAACCAGTGGATGGAAGACCTCACTCTGTCTCTACCTCTCTTTGTAACTCTCTCAAATAGATAAAATAAATCTTAAAAAAAAAAAAACGTATCTTAAAAAGTTATTACTTTATCAGCAAAATTTATCAATAGAAAAAATAAAAGAATAAGGCTGGGTGGAAATTAATGAAATAGAAAGCAGCAAGAAAATGAAACTTCAAAGCAAAAATATCCATAGAAATTGTTCATTTGTGTAGATTAATGAAATTGTTACCTCTGGTAGAAGATAGATATGGCAAAATAAAGGGAAAACTCAGTCTTTTCATGTAACAAGTAGAAATGGTATATTATCACTAAACCCAGAAATTTAAAGAAAAAATACTTGAACCATTATATGCAAGTAAATCTTATAATTAAATGAAATGAATTCCTTAAAAACACAAATAGATGAACTGATACAAATTTTGAAGAGTCATATATCTTTTAAAGAAATTATTGTTGTACCTAGAAAACTTCCTACATAGAAAATTATAGGTGCAGTGTCCAGTGCTGTGGTGTAGCAGGTAAAGCCCCTGCTTGCAGTGCCATCATCCCATATAAGCACCGGTTCGAGTCCCAGCTGCTCCACTGCCAATCTAGCTCTCTGCTAATGTGCCTGTGAAAGCAGCAGAGGATGGCCCAAGTGCTTGGGCCCCTACACCCACATGGGAGACCCAGAAGAACCTCCTGGCTCCTGGCTTCAGATCAGCCTGGCTGCAGATATTATGGCCATTTTGGGAGTGAACCAGTGGATGGAAGACCTTTCTCTCTTGTCTCCCTCTCACCCCCCATAACTTTGCCTTTCAAATAAATAAAAACATCTTTAAGAAAAAGAAAAAAGAAAATTATAGGTCCAGATAACTTTACTGATGAATCTTGCCTAACATTTAATGAAGATGTCATTATGAAACATTGTGTCCAATACCTAGTTTCTTACTGTTGCTTGCTATAGCCTGAATATTTGTGTCCTCTCTCCCTAATTCATTTGGTGAAACCTGATTCCCAGTGTTGAATGAATGACTGAGCTGGGAATATTTGAGTATATTTTTAAAGGAATCTGACACTATGTTAGCATATAATTTTATCACAAACTCAGCTTGCTTAATGCTATTAAAAACTTTAATTCTTTAATAAAATTGAATTTATTGAATTGAAAAAAGCTTAGAGAATTTGGTACAGATGGTTGCTCATGTGAATAATCAAACTTATTGGGACACACAATATGAGAGATAAAGACCAATATGAATTAGGAGACTGTACCACACAATATGTACATTTTATTCATACTCTTAATGTTTAACTATTATGTCTACTTTGCAATAGGATGTTTACTTACCAATCATTGGTGATGAGAAAAACAATTAATAATTGTATATATTACTAAAATATCTTGAAGCCCCAAGTAGAAATTTATTTTATAGTTTAATTGTAAATACTTCGCTTTTGCTAAAGGAAGAAAATACTCTTAATTAAAAAACAAACAGATACATACATATACATTTGCCTAATTCCTCTCTTTTAATTTTTAAGGTGCCTTAGCCAACTTGAACCCTGTGCATATTCCCAGCCATGGACCAGTGTCTGCTGCCTCTCCAACTAATCAGTCACCCATAGGGTGTCCTGATATTGCTGATTTTCTTACTAAGCCAGGTGTTACTTTACACAGATCTATGAGCAGTGCACCCAATACACCAGATTTTTATCAGCATCTTAGAAATTCTGATAGCAATCTGTGCAACAGGTAAGTTGCTCAATTGTTTATTATTTCTGTTTCAAAATGTAACCTGTATAAAGTATTAAAATTTTCCTAGTTATATGTTATAACTAGCTGAAGAATTAAGACTACATCATTTTATTTCTATACATAGTAGTTTTTATTCTAAGAAAATTTTTCTTGTTTTAGTTCTATTATAGACTTGCTAATTAAATGATCTCCAACTGAGATGAAATGTAATGGTATTTTACACAATACAAGATATCAGTAAATCTAGAGAGAATTATTTTAGTGTGATCTACTTTAGTGTCTATTCATGGTACACAGTTATTTTGGTGTTTAGTCTCATTTCTGCTATGATAAAAATAAATAATGATTTACATAAAACCCTAATATTGACATTTAAAAGTAAATTATTTCTTTCAGGGAAACACAGATGCTTTCTAAGATAAAGCTTTTTAAATGTATAAAGAGATTAAAATATTTGAATGTGTTGCAATTGGCATCTAAGTTAAAAATTTGAGAATTTCCAATTATGTTTAGGTAAAAATTTCTACCTCATTTATCACATACATTATTTATTTTATTCTACAAGCTGTGGGCATCAAATACTGAAATATGTTTCAACATCCGAATCAGATGGTACAGATTGCCACAGTGGAAAATCAGGTGAGGTTGCACAAATCAAATGTATTTAACAGTAAATTCTTAAAATGTTTTTTCAAATACATAAATGAATGAGTTGCACTTTATCTCTCTTTAAAATGAAGATTATAATAATATAATGTTTTTAATTACTTCACTGAGGGATTAAGGGTTCCAGTCCTGGTCAGGGCGCCAGATTCTGTCCCGGTTGCCCCTCTTCCAGGCCAGCTCTCTGCTGTGGCCAGCGAGTACAGTGGAGGATGGCCCAAGTGCTTGGGCCCTGCACCCCATGGGAGACCAAGATAAGTACCTGGCTCCTGCCATCGGATCAGCGCGGTGCGCCGGCCGCAGCGCGCTGGCCGCAGCGGCCATTGGACGGTGAGCCAACGGCAAAAGGAAGACCTTTCTCTCGTCTCTCTCTCACTGTCCACTCTGCCTGTCAAAAAAAAAAAAAAAAAAAAAAAACAAGTTAATATTAGTAGATGGTGAAAATATTTTGAAGAGCAAAAGTGTGCTGTACTAATAATGTAGTCTTCTTAGGCTATGGTTAATTTTCATAGATAATGAGTTATTTATGTTAATATTGAAATTTGTACTGTGCAATCGAAGCCCAAAGGGATTTGCATAAATTTTCATGGCATAGAGAGCAGGTGTTGTGTTTTTTTTTTTTTTTTTTTTTTTTTTTTTTTTGACAGGCAGAGTGGACAGTGAGAGAGAGAGAGACAGAGAGAGAAAGGTCTTCCTTTTGCCGTTGGTTCACCCTCCAATGGCTGCCGCTGCAGCCGGCGCACCACGCTGATCCGATGGCAGGAGCCAGGATCCAGGTGCTTTTCCTGGTCTCCCATGGGGTGCAGGGCCCAAGCACCTGGGCCATCCTCCACTGCACTCCCTGGCCATAGCAGAGAGCTGGCCTGGAAGAGGGGCAACCGGGACAGAGTCCGGCGCCCCGACCGGGACTAGAACCCGGTGTGCCGGCGCCGCAAGGTGGAGGATTAGCCTATTGAGCCACGGCGCCGGCCCAGGTGTTTTAAAATTTAGAAAATTACATTATTCTGAAACATTTTGCATCTTCAAATAAGAAATATTGTTGTGGACACTTGGTGCAGTGGTTGGAATACCATATTGAAGTTCTGCCTCCACATCTGATCCAGCTTCCTGCTGATGTACACCCTGGTAGGCAACAGGTGATGGCTCAAGTTCTTGAGCTCCTATGGCCTATGTGGGACACCTGGATGGAGTTCTACTCCTGGCTTTGGCCTAGCTGAGCCCTGGCATTCGGGGAGTGAAACAGCAGATAGAAGATCTCTCTTTCTGTGTTTCTGGTATGTCTCTGCCTTTCAAATAAAAACTAAAAGTCAGTTTTAAAACTTCTTATAAAAATATTATTGATGAAGACAGGGTGTTTATAACATTAAAAATTGACTCAAATGACCAATAATATTTAACTAAGTAACTCAGACCAACATTCTTCACCATAGGTGTAGCTAGAAAACTGAACAAATTATTAATGCTTTTTTAAAAATCTACTTAAGGCCATTGACAAGCTCCTAAGAATTACCAGTTGAGGATCTGAAGGATAGAAGTATAAGAAATGAGTCTTAAATTTAGGCTATGAAAAGGGTGTTTATTGATTCTAGAAGGGCCAGTGACTGATAAAATTAGTAGTGTTTTTTTTTTTTGGTAGTTTAATGAGACTAGGGAGACAGATATTGGATTTGAAAAGCTTGCCATGGTGGAGATAACTTGGTAAGCTCTGAAGAGCTACACTTATGGAAAAAGGTTAAAAAAAATAGATTGGCCCTCAGTCCTTTCATCTATGGCAAAGTTACCCTTTTAAAGTGTGAAGTTTTCTAGTTTTATTACATTTTAAAGGTTTTTTATTTATTTATTTATTTGACATGTAGAATTAGAGACAGTGAGAGAGACAGACAGAGAGAAAGGTCTCCCTTCCATTGGCTCACTCCCCAAATGGCCGCTACTGCTGGCACTGCGCCGATCCGAAGCCAGGAGCCAGGTGCCTCCTCCTGGTCTCCCATGTGGATGCAGCGGCCCAAGCACCTGGGCCATCCTCCACTGCCCTCCCGGGCCACAGCAGAGAGCTGTACTGGAAGAGGAGCAACCAGGACTAGAATCCGGCGCCCATATTGGATGCCGGTGTCGCAAGCGGAGGATTAGCCAAGTGAGCCACGGCGCCGGCCTTAAAGTGTTTTTTTTTTTTTTTTGAAGTTGAAAACTAGGCCTTAACGAACTCCTCAAAAAATAAAATAGGAGAAACTTCCCAAATCATTCTATAAGACCATCATTACCCTGACACTCTAACCAACAAAGGCGTTGTAAGAAAGCTACAGACCAATATGCCTTATGTGTATACACACAAATATCTTTATCAAAACACTTGCAGACTGAATCAAGTTTGCTGTAAAAAGGTCACACAATGACCAAGTGATTTTTATACTAGGAATGCAAGAGTTGCTGAGTATTTGGAAATCAATCCATATAATACACCACACTAATAGGATAAAAGGAAAAGGTCAGACATTGTTTCACACCAGTTAGGTTGCTGCTTAAGACAGCTGTGTCTGATAGAGGAGTGCCAGCACTCGAGTCTAGCATCTGCTTCCTGTCTAGCTGCCTGCTAATGTGCACTCTAGTAGGCAGCAGGTGATAGTTAAAGTGCCTGGGTCCCTGTCACCCACGTGGGAGACCCAGATGGAGTTCTGGGCTCCTGGCTTCAGCCTGACCCAGCTCTGGCTGTTACAGATAACTAGGGAGGGAATCCGTGGATGTAACATCTTTGTCTCTGTCTTTCTCTTGCTCTTTCAAATACATGGAAAGTAAATAAAATTTAAAAGGGAAAAATATTATAATCTCAAAAGACTCAGAAGCATTTGACAAAATCTGACACTCTTTTTGCGATTAAAACAAAAATAAAACCCAACACTGAAACTGTTAGTAGCAGGGAAATTTTTCAACCTGATTAAAGGTCTCTTTGAAAAACACACAGCCAGGGCCAACACTGTGGCATAGTAGGTAAAGCAGCCATCTGCTGTGCCGCCACACTATATGCATACCTGTTTGAATTCTGGGTGCCTCACTTCGGATCCAGCTCCCTGCTAATGTTCCTGGAAAGACAGCAGAAAATGGCCCAAATGCTTGGGCCCCTGCACCTATGCAGGAAACCTGGAAAAAGCTCCTGGCTCGTGGCTTCAGCCTGGTGCAGCCCCAGCCATTGTGGCCATTTGGGGAGTGAACAAGCGGTTGGAAGACCAATTTCTCTCTGTTTCTCCCTCTCTCTCTCATAACTCTGCCTTATAGATAAATAAAAGAAATATTTTTAAAAGAAAAAGGAAAATAAGGAACAAAATAGACCAAAGTAGTAGAATTATAACCATGAAACTTTTTGAGGAACATATAGGACAGCCTTTGTGGTCTTGTGTTGAGTAATGTATTCTTGGATAGAATACCAAAAGTACAATCTATGAAAGAAAATCTTAACAAATTGGGCTTCAGCAAAATAAAAACTTTTGTATTTCAAAAGATACCAATAAAAAAAGGAAAAGACATACTATAGATTGAGAAAAAAAATTGCAAGTTATACATTTGATTAAGGACTTATGGCCGGCGCCGCGGCTCAATAGGCTAATCCTCCACCTAGCGGCGCTGGCACACCGGGTTCTAGTCCCGGTCGGAGCGCTGGATTCTTTCCCGGTTGCCCCTCTTCCAGGCCAGCTCTCTGCTGTGGCCAGCGAGTGCAGTGGAGGATGGCCCAAGTGCTTGGGCCCTGCACCCCATGGGAGAGCAGGAGAAGCACCTGGCTCCTGCCATCGGATCAGTGCAGTGTGCCGGCCACAGCGTGCCAGCTGCGGCGGCCATTGGAGGGTGAACCAATGGCAAAAGGAAGACCTTTCTCTCTCTCTCTCTCTCACTATCCACTCTGTCTGTCAAAAAGAAAAAAAAAAAGGACTTATATCTAGATTATATAAAGAACTCCTACAACCTAACATCAAATTATTCAATTAAAAAATGGGGAAACAATTTTAGACATTTTGGTTAAAGTCATTTGGTAAAGGAGACGAACAAAGCATGAAAAGATGATAATATCATTAATCATTAAGGAAATGCAAATTAATTTTATGAGACCCGATTACATTCCAACTAGAATAGTATAATCAAAAACAGAGTCACTACCACGTGCAGGGATGCAGAGAAACTGGGGGCCAGCATTAATTACAAAAATCAGGATTTGAGTCCTTTTCTGAAAGTCTACTCCAGTGAGTATTCTTAAGAACACTTTTTACTTAAAAATAATTTTAATAAAATTTTACATATTATGAAGTACACAGATCATGAGTTTGCAGCTTGATGAATTTTCATAATACTCCTTAATCATCACTCAGATTAATTAGAAAATATTAGGTCGGCGCCGCGGCTCACTAGGCTAATCCTCTGCCTTGCGGCGCCGGCACACCAGGTTCTAGTCCTGGTCGGGGCACCGGATTCTGTCCCGGTTGCCCCTCTTCCAGGCCAGCTTTCTGCTGTGGCCAGGGAGTGCAATGGAGGATGGCCCTAGTACTTGGGCCCTGTACCCCATGGGAGATCAGGATAAGTACCTGGCTCCTGCCATCGGATCAGTGTGGTGCGCCGGCCGCGGCGGCCATTGGAGGGTGAACCAAAGGCAAAAGGAAGACCTTTCTCTCTGTCTCTCTCTCACTGTCCACTCTGCCTGTCCAAAAAAAAAAAAAAAAAGATAGAAAATATTACTAGCACCTCAAAATTTTCCTTCATGCACCTTTACAGACGTATCTCCCAGTGATTTCTGGTTTAAAAACTCATTTATATGGTTTTGATAGGCTTTGAAACTTTTCATAAAGAGGATCACAGAATATGTATGTACCTTTGTGCCTGGCGTCTTCCACTTAACATTATGTTTTTAAGAATCACTCATATATTGTAGTTATAGTTCATTCTCTTTTCTCTGTAATGTGTAATTGTATAAATATACCATAATTTGCTTATACTACTACCAGTGGGTTTTTGGAATGTTTCTTGTTACTATAAATAGAATGAACTGAACATTTTTTGGCATGTGAGTATATACTGCTTCGGATGGATGCAGCTCTGGCCCTTGAGGCCATTTGGGGAGTGAACCAACGTAGGGAAGACCTTTCTCTCTGTCTCTCCCTCTCACTGTCTGTGGCTCTAACTTTCAAATAAAAGAAATAAAATCTTTAAAAAAAAAAAAAAGACAGGAGTTCATTCTTTTTTATGGCTGAGTAGATTTCCATAGTGCATATATATCACTTTTTTTTTTTATCCAGTCATAATTGATGGAGAGCTGAGTTGATTCCATATCTTAGCTATTGTGAATTGAGCTGCCAAAAACATGGGGGTACAGAGACTTCTTTCATATGCTGATTTCATTGCATTTGGATCAATTCCCAGGAGTGAGATGGCTGGGTCATATGGTAGATCTATTTTCAGATCTTGGAGTATTCCCCCATATTGTCTTCCATAATGGTTGTACTAGTTTACATTCCCATGAACAGTGGATTATTAGGGTATCTTTTTCCCTCGATCCTCACCAGCATTTATTGTTTTTGATCTTTGGATGATAGCCATTTGAACTGGGGTGAGTGAGACCTCATTGTAGTTTTGATTTATGTTTCCATGATGGGTAGTGATCATCAGAATTTTTTCATGTGTCTGTTGGCCATTTGAATTTCCTCTTTTGAGAAAATACCTGTTAATGTCCTTTTGGTCATTTCTTACCTAGATTGCTTGTTTTTTTTTTTTTTTTTTTGTTGTTGTTGTTGTTGTTGTTAAGTTTCTTTTATCAGTTGCATAGTTTGCAAATATTTTCTCCCATTCTGTTGGTTGCCTTGCCACCTAATTGAATGTTTCCTTGTAACACAAAAGCTTCTTAGCTCAATGTAATCCCATTTGTCTATTTTTGCTTTTATTGTCTGTACTTTTGAAGTCTTTTCCAAGAAGTCTTTGCCTGTGCCAATGTCTTATAGAGTTTCCCCAATGTTTTCCTCTAGTAATCTGGTAGTATCAGGTTGTAGATTTAGGTCCTTGATCCATTTTGAGTTGATTTTTGTATCTATATATATATTTTAAGGTGAAGAAGATACTACCATTTTATTAAAAGAATCATTCAACTTTATGGAAACTCAACAGGAAGAGGAAACAGAGAAGAGAGACTACAGAAAATTATTTTTGGAAGGTGATCATCATCTAACAGAAGACAAACAGAATGAACAGCAGCTGAATGTAAAACATAAACTTTCAATATGATTGTGTTAAGGTGAAATATAATCCTAGTTAGTACTGGTTTAATTATTTTTCCCAGAACGATATTTTTAGTGTAATGGTATCTTTAATTCTTTTTACTGAAAAGTCATGATAACTGAAGTATTTGTTTGGGTTATAAATATTAATTAATTCTAAACCTGTCCCCCTAAAGCAATAAATGGCAATCAATTTTAAATGAACACATTTATTTTGTTTTATAATTGATATATTATTTTCAATCCTGATTTTCACTATATATTTTAGTGTACAGTAATACTTTCTGTTATACAGGTTCAAAATTAAAGCTTTTAGAACAAACCCTCCATTTCTTCTGGAAAATTATTCTAGTAATATGTGCCAGTAAAGAAATATGAGTTTCTTTCTCTTACCCTTTAATATCAGTATCTTTTATAGTGAAAATAATTGTTTTTATATTTGTATAGTGATTTCAAAACAAAACTTGTTTATTTATGAAATGAATATATATAGATTAATAGTATTGTGATGTCCAGAAGATATATTTATAGTTGTCTAAGGTAAGTTTTTATTTAGAGAAGAAGAAATAGAAAGTACAGATAATAGTCTATTTGAGAATAACCATTATAGAATAACCATTTTAGAAAATACTCATAATACCTATTTTTAAAATTTTTTAAGTGTTCTCTTTTGATGTGGATTTAACAATATTTATAAAACATAAAATGATAGGGTTTTTTTTTCTTTCACTGTTGTACAGATTGAACAGGAACTGTCACAGGAGCAGATTTTATTGGAAGATTATGAGTCATTAATAGAAAAGATGAGCAACTGGAATTTTCAAATTTTTGAACTTGTAGAAAAGATGGGAGAGAAATCAGGAAGGATTCTCAGTCAGGTTTGATTTTAAATCTCTCCTTTTTTTTTTTAACTGTTTCTCAAATGATTTTTATAAAGCAAAAACTAAATTGCATGTAATATTGGCTTAGGTACTAGTTCAATAATGTTTATTGAATTTACTTTTCCGGGAAACCCCCCAAATATATTAAAATATGTATGTTATAAATATAATATGTATGTCATACAAGTCTTTGTGTGTGCGTCCGTATAGCATATTAGTGGGATTTAATTTAGGTTAAAAAAGTAAAATTTATTTTTTAGTACTACCACAGCGAAACATTTATTTAAAGATTTATTTATTTATTTGAAAGGCGAAGTGAGAAAGAAAGAGAGAGAGAAAGGTCTTTCATCTGATGGTTCAGTTCCCATAGGATTTACTTTTTCTTGAATCTTGAGTTTGAAAAGAAGATGAAAAATGATCAGGTGTATGGATAAATTATATAAAGAACATACTAGTTCATCTTATTGATGTATTTACAAAAATGGGATAAAGTTGCTGTTGTTCTTTTTTAAAAAAGCAACACTAGAGAGGAATAGGAAACAAATACCTTTCAAAACATTATGTATAAAAAGCTAAGGAAAAGAATCCAAAAATTTGAAAATTCAAACATGATATATGGGATAAGATTTCCTTGGTTTTCAAGGACTTTAGAGGATGTCTTTATTTTTTGAAAAAAAAAATAGTGAAATTTTATATAAATTAACTTAAATACTTACACTTGGTTAATATTCCTAAATACAAATAAAAAAGTGTTTTATTCAGCTACAACTAGAAATTCTGATTTTAAAAGTGAATTTTATTCTCATTGATATTTAGGTCATATACACCTTATTTCAAGACACTGGCTTATTGGAAATATTTAAAATTCCCACTCAACAATTCATGAACTATTTTCGTGCATTAGAAAATGGCTATCGAGATATTCCTTGTAAGTATTAACATTATTTTATTATTTAAGTTCAAGCAATACCAGTTCGAAACACTTTATTTCTCTGCAAGTGATTCTTTAAACAGTTTTTTTAAATATTTATTTATTTATTTGAGAGGCAGAGCTACAGACAGTGAGAGGGAGAGACAGAGAGAGAGGTCTTTCATCTGATGGTTCACTCCCCAGATGGCTGCAACAGCCAGAGCTGGGCCAATCTGAAGCCAGGAGCCAGGAGCTTCTTCTGGGTCTCCCATGCAGGTGCAGAAGCCCAAGCACTTGGACCATCTTCTACTGTTTTCCCAAGCCATAGCAGAGAGCTGGATTGGAAGTGGAGCAGCCAGGACTCGAACTGGTGCCCATATGGGATGCCAGCACTGCAGGCAGTGGCTTTACCTGCTATGTCACAGCACCAGCTCCTAAAATTTTTAAACTACATGTTTGAAAAAAATTTAAATAGAGATTTGAAAAGAAAATCTGCGTACTACTAATTAGAGTTAGCTGACTACTGCTAACATTTTGGTGTATATCCTCTTAAGACTTTCTTATATAAATTCATCTTTTTGTAAAACAGATCACAGTATTAAACCTGTTTATAATATACTTTTTTACTTAATTTTTATATAGTATGCATCATTCTATATTAATAATTGTTGTCTGAGTACCAATATCATCTTTTTAAATGTTTGATAATATTAAATCAAGCACTTCAGAAAATTCTTCACTGTGAAATGTTGAAAATGTATTCATAGGCCGGCGCCGCGGCTCACTAGGCTAATCCTCTGCCTAGCGGTGCCAGCACACCGGGTTCTAGTCCCGGTCGGGACGCCGGATTCTGTCCCGGTTGCCCCTCTTCCAGGCCAGCTCTCTGCTGTGGCCAGGGAGTGCAGTGGAGGATGGCCCAGGTGCTTGGGCCCTGCATCCCATGGGAGACCAGGAAAAGCACCTGGCTCCTGGCTCCTGCCATCGGATCAGCGCGGTGCGCCGCCGGCGCCGCCGGGCGGGCAGCATTGGAGGGTGAACCAACGGCCAAAGAAGAACTTGTCTCGGTCTTTTCTTTCTTACTGTCCACTCTGCCTGTCAAAAAAAAAAAAAAAAAAAGGTATTCATAGAAATTCTATTCTTAATTGTCTTCTCATTTATGGAATTATTTTTAATAGCAATTTGATCTTATGATTGAGTATAGTTTTTTTTTTTTAGATTTATTTATTTACTTGAAAGTCAGAGTTACACAGAGAGAGAAACAGTAAGAGAGAGAGAGAAGTCCTCCATTCACTGGTTCACTCCCCAGATGGCTGCAATGGCTGGAGCTGTGCCAATCCGAAGCCAGGAGCCAGGAGATTCCTCCAGGTCTCCCACATGGGTACAGGGGCCCAAGGACTTGGGCCATATTCCACTGCTTTCATAGGCCATAGCAGAGAGCTAGATTGGAAGAAGAGCAGCTGGAATTCGAACTGGTGCCCATATGGGATGCTGGCACTGCAGGCAGTAGCCTTACCCGCTACGCCACAGCTCCGGCCCCGATTGAGTACAGTTTGAATTTCATATAGAAAACACTGGTTTCCTTATGTGTTGAAACATAGTTTCCTTTCATAAGGACACATTTGGGAAATCATCTATATAAATCAAGTAAATTATTCTTAAATTGGCATGACTAATTTAATAATTTTATTATTTAAGATGCGTTTATATACTATAATTTCCACTTGTAAAGTATACATTTTTTAGGAAGAGATAAATGTTAATTTTTATTCTTTTGTGTGTACAATAAGTAATGAAACAAATTTTTCCAAACACAATTTTCTGATGTGATAGATTATTCACTTTCAAAAAAATATTCTAAAATGGTATCTTTTTTTTTATTTTTACATTCTTTGGCCTTTACTTACTCTCTGGTTTGAGACATAGCATATTGTTTTTGTTTTTTACATTTTAGTTGTATTTCTTATTTTTTTAACTTTTATTTTACATTTAGTTGTATTTCTTACTATTTTAACTTTTATTTATTTTATAAAAGACTTATTTACTTATTTGAAAGGCAGATATACAGAAAGGCAGAGGCAGAGAGAGAAAGAAGGTCTTCCTTCTGATGGTTCACTCCCCAGATGTCTGCAACAGCTGGAGTTGGGCCAATCCAAAGCCAGGAGCCAGGAGCTTCTTAGGGTCTCCCACGCAAGTGAAGCGGCCCAAGAACTTGGGTCATCTTTTGCTGCTTTCCCAGACCATGGCAGAGAGCTGGATCAGAGGAGGAGCAGCTGGAACTCAAACTGGCGCCCATATGGGCTACTGGCACTGCAGGCGCTGGCTTTACCCGTCACAGCACTGGCCCCAAGTATGTGTTTTATAAAGGGTTGAGGTGAGCATTTGGCATAGTCGTTAAGATGCCCCTTGGTACATCTAAATTCCATTTGGAGTGCCTAGGTTCAAGCTCCACTCTTGATTCCAGCTTCCTCCTTATGTGCATCCTGAGAGGCAACAGGTGATGGCTGAAGTAGTTGGGTTCCTGCTACCCATGTGGGAGACCCAGATTGAGTTCTTGGCTCCTGGCTTTGGCCTGGCTCAGCCCTGGCTGTTGCAGGTGTTTGGCAAGTAAACCAGCAGAAGGGAGATCTGTCTCTCTTTCTCTCACTGTGTCTGCCTTATAAATAGATAAATAAAATTTTAAAAATGAAAAAGTTGTTGAATTTTGTAAAGGGAATATCAAAGAGGCTTTAAGATCAACTTCAAGGGAAACAGAATGGAAAGAAAGAGGTGGCAAGGAGTCTTCACTGTCCACTTTAATGAGGATATACTGGTTAAAAAAGTCTTTCTGGATCTAGCTTTTCTAAACTTAAGTTTACAAATTTGTATGTAGGAATAATAGTAGCACCTACCCCATAGGGTGATCATATAAAATAGTCTATTTAAATCGTATACTCTGTCAGAGTTCTTGGCACGCATAGTATATGGTCAATAAAAGGTGGTGATTGTAAATGATGAATAAGCTCCTGGTAGACTGACACTGTCATGTGTATGGCCTGAACAATTAGTATCACATCATCTGCTAATGTTATTTTGTAAGTATTCATTAAGTATTTGTTGAAGCATTGAATTGTTTTGGCTTCCTTCTGTGACTGTAATCATTAGATTTATGTCAGTTATCTTATATAATCTTGTTTGGAAAGATTGTATTAACCTTTTACAGGTGAGAAGTAAAAACTCAGTAGGATCTTTTCTAACCTAAGATCATAAAACTGATTAGCAGTGCTGGGTTTCAGTTGCAGGTCTATTTAACTTCTAAAGCCTGTATTCTTTACACTGTACCACATGGCATTTTCATATAATGAACCAGTGTTTGACTGATGATATGTTATCTGTCAGACCCTTTTCTGGATGCTTTCATGTGCCATTTAGCATTTAATTCTTTGAAAAAACCTGAGCGAGAGAAGCATTCCTCACCTTTGGGGGAAGGGAAGAGTGGGTGTGGGAGGATTCAGGTTGAGCTTCCTTCATCTAAAAATCTGTAATCCAAAACACTCCAAAATCTGAAACCTTTTGGCACCAATACGATGCCACAAGTGGAAAATTCTATATTATGAAATTGTTTCATGCAAGCAGTTGTATAAAATTACCTTTAGACTATGTGTATAAGATGTATATGAAACAAATGCATTTTGTGTGTAGGTTTGGGTCATATTCCCAAAATATGTCATTATGTTTATGTAAATATTCCAAAACCCCAAATCTGAAAAACTCCTGGTCCCAAAAATTTTGGATAAGGGATACTCAACTTATGTAAGTATCCAGAATTTGTAACTGTTCTCTATCAAAACTTTTTTTTGTGCAAACATGCTTCTCCATAATCCAGACACTATATGATATATATATTTTTTTTTTTGACAGGCAGAGTGGACAGTGAGAGAGAGACAGAGAGAAAGGTCTTCCTTTGCCGTTGGTTCACCCTCCAATGGCCGCTGCGGCCAGCGCGCTGCAGCCGGCACACCGCACTGGTCTGATGGCAGGAGCCAGGTGCTTCTCCTGGTCTCCCATGGGGTGCAGAGCCCAAGCACTTGGGCCATCCTCCACTGCACTCCCTGGCCACAGCAGAGAGCTGGCCTGGAAGAGGGGCAACTGGGACAGAATCCGACGCCCCGTTTTTTTTGTTTTTGTTTTTGTTTTTTTGTTTTTTTTTTTTTTTTGACAGGCAGAGTGGACAGTGAGAGAGAGACAGAGAGAAGGACTATATGACATTTTTAAAAACCACAAAAGCAGCCTTAAGAAAATTTCCCAATGCTTTTGAATTATCCTTGGTTACCATGCCTTAACTTTGGCCTCTTTAACATGTTTTCATAGTATATGTAAATGTTTTTCAAACAGATATGTTTAACAGATAAAGAGACTTTAGCATTCTAAGTCATATATTTTATTAATGAGAACCAGTGTGACTAGAAACATTTTGTGCGTTTAAAATGCCCTATGTCAAATCTAACAGAATGATCATTTTAATAAAATGTTTTGGTGACTTTAGATCATAATCGTATACATGCCACAGATGTCCTACATGCAGTTTGGTATTTGACAACACGGCCAATACCTGGCTTACAACAGATTCACAATGATTGTGGAACATGGAATGAAACAGGTACTTCCTTTATAATCTTTCTTTTAATTATTTGACTGGGAATAATAAAGTTGTCTTTTTCATTATCTTTGTTCTTTGAATTTTTTCTTTAAGTAACTTTTAGTACATATAAAGGACTGTGTAAGTTTTGATCCATGAAAATAACATGAAAAAAAATTTTAAGGGAAAGGGTTTATTGGTGGGGAAACCTGACAGACCAGAGGGAAGGGGTGAAGAAGGAAAAGAGGGAGAAGGAGAGCATAAGAGAATCAAGAGACACAGAGAGAGAGAGAGGACACCATATGTTCAGCAACAGGTCCTGTTAAACCTTCACTGGGGTCAGGCAGGGAAGTAGGAGTGGTGAATCCCATTAGGATGGGCTGGAGCTGACACCTGTGGTTGGGCCATGGGGTCACCTGGCTTCCAGCCTTGGTGGCAGGGGCTAGAGCCTAGGATGGTGTCCAGGGTGTCTGCCCTTTTGTTTTTTATTAAGCAAGAGTTGTATGGGATTACATTAGCCCCAAAAGTCCAGAAGGGGTAGACATATGATGATCTGTCTTTAGAGCTACTTCCTGCTGACATGGGATGACGAGGTACTCTCTGCTGGCATGGGGTGAATTGACATGAAAATTTTAAAACCTGTTACCTATCTTAAGAACTCAATTAAGATCTAGTAGTGCTGCTGGATCTGTCATTTCCTTCTCTGTTCCATCCTGTTGCTTTCACCAGTGAGGAAGCCACTATCCTTAAAGTTATGATAATCATCCCTTTGCATTTTCTTTCTTGGTTTTATTTTTCTTTGAGATGTATTAGTCCTATTGTAAACAGATAACATGGAATGAGCATTTAGTCTAGCAATTAAGACATACACATCACATTTTGGGAGTACCTGGTTTCACTTCTCAGCCTGGCTCTTGACTGTAGCTTCCTGCTAATGCGCGTGCTGGAAATAGTGTTGATGGTTCAAGGAACTGGATTCTTGCCAACCCACATGGGTGAAATGGATTGGTATTCCTGGCTTTCAGTGTCAGCCCTGACCCAGTCTCAGTTGTTGCAGGCTTTTGGGGAGAAAACCAGTGGATGGGAATTCTCTCTTTCTCTCTCACTCTTTCTCTGCCTTTTCGCCTTTCAAATAAATGAGTAAATAAATTATCAAAAAAAAAAAAAAAAAAAAAGAAAACAGGTAACATTTCTAAAACAAAGGAACATGTGTAAAATCATCACATAAATATTTAAATGTTGATTTGAAGAACTTCTGTAAACATTCAGATTTCACATTTTGCTTCTCAAAACGTTAATACTAATACTTAAGTACAGTCACATAAACATAATGAAATATAACAATCACAGTTATCTTACTTTGGTTTATAAAGAGGAAGGATATACATATGGCAAGACAGAATTCAGTTATCAATACTTGAGTAATAATATTACCATACTAATCAGTGTAAATGTCATAGATTCAGCCAGTGCCTTCTATTTTGATGGTTGAGTGTGAAGGACTGCCATATTTGTTTTTTATGCTACCGGTTCTTCTTTGTCTATCATTTATTTATTCTTTCTAGTGTCCTTCATTTCTTTCAAAAGTTCTGTGTTCTATCAGAGATCATTTTCTTCAGCTTTCTTGTTTGAATATTTTTAATTTTGTCTTAGAAGAATATCTTCATATTTCAGCATATTTAAAGACATGATCTTATCATCTTTTGATTTCTATGGTTTCTATTGACAAATCAACCTTAGGTCTTATTGGCAAATATAATATGTAAACATATGTTCTTTTTGTCTTCGATGTTGCACTTTTTTTTTTTTAGCATTTCAACATCGTTTACTCAAGTGATTTTCTTTTTATTCATCCTGCTTGGAGTTCAGGGAATTTTCTAATTTTCTAACTATGTTGATTGTTCTTTTTATTGGATTCTATGATATTCTTGAAAATTCTTCCTACCTGGACCATTGCCCAATTGCAAAGCTATTCCTGTATTTTAAGTATTTGCTACATCAGTACTTCACTTCTAAGTACCAAAATTTGTATTAGTTTTTATTGCTACTGTAACAAATCACCATAAATTTAATGACTTAAAACAACGCAGCTTTATTATCTGATAGTTCTAGAGATCAGAAGTCTGAAATAGGTTTGACTGGGCTAAAATCGGGGCTAAAATCAAGGTGTGGGCAGGACTGTTGTCTTTCTACATGCTCTCAGGAAGAATGTGTTTTCTGGTCTCTCATTTTCTAGAAGCCACTTGTATTCCTTGGTTCATGGGTCTTCAAAAGCTGGCGCCGCGGCTCAATAGGCTAATCCTCCGCCTTGCGGCACCGGCACACCGGGTTCTAGTCCTGCTTGGGGCGCCGGATTCTGTCCCAGTTGCCCCTCTTCCAGGCCAGCTCTCTGCTGTAGCCAGGGAGTGCAGTGGAGGATGGCCCAAGTACTTGGGCCCTGCACCCCATGGGAGACCAGGATAAGTACCTGGCTCCTGCCATCGGATCAGCGCGGTGCGCCGGCTGCAGCGGCGGCCATTGGAGGGTGAACCAACGGCAAAGGAAGACCTTTCTCTCTGTCTCTCTCTCTCACTGTCCACTCTGCCTGTCAAAAAAAAAAAAAAACAACAACAACAACAATGGCTTTACATATTCAGATACCTTTCTGCTGCTGATCTTTTGACCCTTCCAAAGACAAACAAAAAGTTGTCTTTTGCCTTTCTTTCCAGAACACTATCCCACTTTTCTTTCCAGAACATACGTTCCTGACAGTTAATCTCTCAGTTTTAATATCTTTTGCAGTCTGGATAGGCTGAAAATCAACCAAACCATCAAGCCCAGCTGCTTCTGCTTTTCTTAGTGTTTCTTCTTCAATATTTCTCTTTCTTCTCACATTTTACAACAGAAGTAAGAAATCAGGCTGCATCTTCAACACTCTGATTGGAAATTTTCGCAGCTAAATATCTAAGTTCATAATTTATAAATTTTGTGTTCCACATTACCTGTAGTACAAAATTTAGCCAAGCTTTCTGCTAATACATAACAAGAATCCTTTTTCCTGCCGGCGCCGCGGCTCACTAGGCTAATCCTCCGCCTTGCGGTGCCGGCACACCGGGTTCTAGTCCCGGTCGGGGTGCCGGATTCTGTCCCGGTTGCCCCTCTTCCAGGCCAGCTCTCTGCTGTGGCCAGGGAGTGCAGTGGAGGATGGCCCAAGTGCTTGGGCCCTGCACCCCATGGGAGACCAGGAGAAGCACCTGGCTCCTGCCATCGGATCAGCGCGGTGCGCCGGCCGCAGCGGCCATTAGAAGGTGAACCAATGGCAAAGGAAGACCTTTCTCTCTGTCTCTCTCTCTCACTGTCCACTCTGCCTGTCAAAAAAAAAAAAAAAAAAAAAGGAATCCTTTTTTCCTTTAGTTTCCAATAAAATATTTCTCATTTTCTTCTGAGTAATGCCCTTAATGGCCTTTTTCCTGTTACCAGCCTTTTCTCAAAGATTTAGGTATTCTTTAAGGCAACATATGTTGTCTGTCTCATAGTCCTCACTTTCTTCACAGTTCTTACTAGCAGTGTTATGAGTTCTTATACACAGTGTTATGGAATCAAGAGTCTACAGGGGAGAAGACTTTGAGAGAGATCATGTTGCTGTTGCAATAGAAAATTATGGTGGAAACAGACTACAAGAACTATGGTATGGCTCTCTGCTATGGCCTGGGATAGCAGTAGAAGATGGCCTAGGTCCTTGGGCCCCTGCACCTGCTTGGGAGACCCAGAAGAAGCTCTTGGCTCCTGGCTTCTGATTGCCACAGTTCCAGCCGTTGTGGCCAATTGGGGAGTGAACCATTGGATGGAAGACCTCTCTCCCTCTGCCTCTCCTCTCTCTGTGTAACTCTGACTTTCAAGTAAAATAAATCTTTTTTTTTTAAAAAAAGAACTATGGTATGGATTGGTTTATTATGACTGTATTAGAGAATTGGGGAAAAAATGACCACTGTAGAGCTTTAATTAATTGTAATAAGACCACATGGCTTCTCTGACTAACTTAAAAGAATCACTGGTAGCATTATAGCTTCTGAAAACAAAATCCAGTATCTGATCCTGAATTTACTTGAAATACAGTGCAGGTTGAGTTTGTGATCTCATATGACCTTGTATGTCAGAATTAAGTTATCAGTTGGGGAAGAAAGGACCCTGAGAATTGGAATAAGATTAGTTGGATAGGTTTGAAGTCATGTGATTCATGTGATTATCCTTAACTCCCCAAATCCTGCTGATCTCCCTTGTTGAGAAACAATTATTTCTCATTATATTAGTTGCCTGAGGATCTTGTAATGACCTCTCCTGAGATTCCTGAATCAGAATAATGCTAATTCATCTCTAACTTCAATTCTGGTAGTGCTCATTTCTTTGGGGTCCATATTTAAATTCAAATACCTGGAGATGTTAGGGGAAATAAATACTGAGTCTGAACACTAGAATAATATATTGGTGTAAGCCTGAGGAATATATGTGGAATAGATTAGGAAGAAAGAAAAGCAATGTAGATAGTTCTGCGTTTATTCATATAGGTATATTCCCAGAAATTCTGGATTCATTGTATTTGGTTGAGCAACTGGCAATGACACTTAATAGTTCTGTATAAACAGTTGTCTGAAATGTTAGCATCACATGAAGATGAAATGAAGATGAATTGTTGGAACTGTCTACTATACTGTGGAGGAAGGAATCCAGACACTAATTCTAATAGATTGTTGAAATGAATGATCAAATTCAGTCTTCTCACTCACCCCCAATTATGTCCCTTAGAAATGTTTCCCTTTAACAAGATGTTGAGAAATACTACTCTAAAACTAATTCTTGGAAAGTGAAATACCACACTGTTCCATCAGCCTGAGTTAGAGGCATATTCAATTTAGATTGTTTTTTGGCGTAGGCTTGTTTCACAGTGGTAGTTCCCCTAAACTATACCTATTTTCTGAATGCACAGTTTGAATAAACATATTCAGGAGCTGACAGAATTCTTTCACTCATTCGTTGACTCTTGG